ACACACACACACACACGTACACACATATTCGATATTCACACACAAACACACACGCGCACACATGCACGCACGCACACACACACACAGACACTCACACACACATACACACACACACTCACACACACACACCCACACTGATACTAATTCCGATAGATTTCACAAGCCTATTGTTGCCACAAAAAAGATGTTTGTTTACATGCGCTTATTATGGAGGAAGAATTTTTTTAAAGCCTATTCAGCAAACATAGCATCTATACGAATAAGTTTATAGCAACACAAACAGAAAAGAAACAATTGCTTCCTCCGAATGTTTCTTTGTTCTTTTTTTAGTGGCGTCGGTGGTCAAGTGGATAGGTTGTTGGGATCACGGATCCGGACTCCTCAGGGGGCCAACGTTCTGTCCTTGGAAAAAACAGTTTACCTGAATTTACCCCACTTTACTCTGTACACGGCGATAGGCAGCAAAGGATCTTGTCAGTTTGTTGGTTTGTTAGTGTTTGAACGCTGAATCGGCGGCTTGCATTTTATGCTTCACGGGAAGCCGGGAATGTTTTTCTGTGCCTTAGGGTCTGCTGGGGTGACACATGTAGCGTGTGAAGCTCATATAGCTTTCTTTTGAGCGGGGATATGCGCTATACAAATGGTATTTATTATTCAGATTCCAAAGCGTCAATGAATGTGCGCACGACACCGGTTTTTGTGTTTTTGTTTTTTCGTTGTTTTTTTGTTTTTTTTTCAAATCATCCATCATAGCCTAATTACATTGCCTTTGGCGTTGGCCTTAACCTTCCTCCTCCCCCTCCCATTCCTAACCCTCTATGGGTTATCGGCGTTAAATAAATTTAAAAAATCTTGCTTCGTGCAACTCTCGACCTTGATACGTCCTATCTTACGCACAGTATGAATGCGTAATCGGACTATTTCACACTAGGCTACGCTGTAATCCCCGCCTTGATGCTCCCGGCGAAAGTGTCGCATGGTGCGATGAGACACTGCCCTGCAGTGAATGAATTATAGTATTTATAGGCCTACTATAAATAATCATTATTATCTCCTGTCGCGGTCTGTAATGAGAAGTGGAAGGAAGGTAATTAAATGATAAAGACAGCTCGTCCGCAGCCTAATCTGAGTAATCCCGGTTATCGGTTTGTTGTTACTTTCTGAACGTGATTAATCTCACTTTCGACCAAATATTTTTCACCCCCTGACCTTACACCCTACTTGTGACACCTGTAAAAACGTACAAATCATATGGAGAGAGATCTTTCTCATGTCTTGGTCCATTTATGTGGAACAGATTACCCATGAAACTAAGACAAATAAGAACTCTTGATAGCTTCAAAAGACATCTTAAACATTTTCTGTTCCTACAGGCCTATTCTTCATAAGCTTTTAACGTTATCTTTCATTATATTTG